CCCCTTTTCTCTCCCTCCCTAAAAAAGATCAGATTCCATGCCCTGTCATTCCTGTCTCCTGGCCTCTACATGCCCACTACCTCTTAGCTGAGTTCAGGCCCTCATCATTTTCCACTTATCACTGCAAGTAGTGGAATTAAATTATTCTCCTTAAGACCAGCTTCATCTATTTCCAACCCATCCTCCATGCTGTTGCTATTTCTAAAATGCAAATTTGATCATGTCTCTCCCCTGCTTAAAATTCTTCATTTGCTTCTCATCACCTTTGGGATAAAATCCAATCTCTTTGGCATGCCACACGAAGTGCTTTGTGATCTGGTCCCTATTTACACTCTGCCTTCATCTATCCCACTTCCCTCCCCTGACCTAACACATCATACTTTGTGCTTAAGCGCTCAGAGTTCCCTGAACAAGCTATGCTCACCACCCCTGAACATCTGCCCTTATTATTCAGCCTGATTGGAACTGCCGCACACACCCCACTTCCAAACCACCCCCCCCCCACCAGGTTCCCTTGATCCTTTTGGCCCTTCGGGCCTGAGCACAGCAGATCACCTCTGGGAGCCTGTGGGTTAGAGCTACACGTCTGCTCACACATTTGTCACAGCACGTATCACACTGCAGAGCAACTGTCACTTTCTGACTGTCAATCAACTGTGAGTTGAAGTCAAGAGCTGCATCTTTTATCTTTGGATCCTTAGGGTCTTGAGTACTCCAAGCACAGATAATAAATGTTTACAGAGTGAGTAAATGGGCTGGGATGTGAATTAAGGTCTGATTCGAAACTCATGCTCATTCTATGTGGCATCATGTTATTATTTGAGAATGAATTCATTCATTAAACAAATACTTAATGGGTATCTGTTTTTCCAGGCATTTTTTAGTAAGGTACATTCCATGTCATCTGGGTCCATTCCTGTTTCCCTCTTCGCTGCTTTCATAGCTGATTATCTTTTGCTCTTCTGAGTTTCTGACAGGATACTCATTGGTCTTTTAGTCTGATTCCTGACTCGTTTCTGACTTCTGAACAATGGCTGCCTGCTGTTCTTACCTGCCATGTTTGCAGTTGACATGTGGTCAACCTCACTCAGGTGTCCACTGAGCCAAGTTTCCAGTCGGCCTGCTTTATCCTATTCGGCCTCCCAAGTTTTGGCACAAACGCTTCTTTGAATAGGAAGGGTTCAGGCTACCTCCTTTCCTTTGTATCCTGTAATCTGGTTTTTTTTTTTTTTTTTTTTTTTTGCGGTACGCGGGCCTCTCACCGCTGTGGCCTCTCCCGCTGCGGAGCACAGGCTCCGTACTCGCAGGCTCAGCGGCCATGGCTCACGGACCCAGCCGCTCCGCGGCATGTGGGATCCCCCCAGACCGGGGCACGAACCCGTGTCCCCTGCATCGGCAGGCGGACTCTCAACCACTGCGCCACCAGGGAAGCCCCTGTAATCTGGTTTTGATCTTTAAATTCACCAAAGATCTCCGGTGACCTGTTGAATTCAATGGGCTTTCTCTTATGTTTCTCCCAATCAACCTCCCCATTGCTTTGACTCCCTGACAAGAGTCCGCCTACTGATGCAGGGGACGCGGGTTCATGCCCTGGTCCGGGAAGATCCCACATGCCGCGGAGTGGCTGGGCCCGTGAGCCATGGCCGTTGAGCCTGCGCGTCCGGAGCCTGTGCTCCGCAACGGGAGAGGCCACAGCAGTGAGAGGCCCGCGTACCGCTAAAAAAAAAAAAAAAAAAAATGAAATGTCTTTTCTCCCTATAGCCTCTATGATGTTATGCGTTCCTGATTCTCAACCTGTGCTTCTAGTAGCTCTTTTTTCTTTCTCCTCTGTTGGATTCTCATTTTTCGTAAGGCTATTGGTTATGGAAAACTATGGGTTTTTCTCTAAGTCTCAATTTCAACCTCCTCACCTTTCTTCTTCTATGTTCTTCCCTAATATAGATAACACAAGGCTCTGTTAAAATGTAAAAATAGCTCACATTTTAGCATCACAGTTTACAGAATGCCTTTACATACCTGATTTCATTTATCCTCATTCTAGTATGTGAATGTCTTCACAAATTAACTCCGGTTCCATGCATGGGATCTTGCTATTCTTAGTAGCTCCTTATGATGCCTGTTCAGATTGTTATTCTCATTCTATTCTTTCTTCTGGACTCTCACTGCACTTGCCCAGACTTCCACCACAGCACCCATAATGATATTGCACCTTCGCGTTCACATGACCATCTCTCCCCTTCTAGACTGTAGGTTCTATGTCATGTGGGTCTTCTTTTCCCAACACCTAGCGTAAGTCCTGGCCATCATGTGTGTTTAATAGCCAGTGAATAATTGAATAACTCCCAATTTTCTGGTCCCGATTCCAAGAGTCACTTTGAATCCTCTCCTAAATCTTGTTATTGATTCCTTATGCCTTAGGTTTCTTGATGTTGTCCCTTTTCTTCTGTTACTGTCACTATAGTCACCCAGACTGTTGCACTTTGTACAATTATGACATCCCCATCTTTTTCTCCCTGCTCTTGGTCTTTCTCTTGTCAAATCAGTCCTATGTTTTCCTTGCAAGTATAATCTAAAAATGCCATTTGTACAAGGGTAAGGTTTAAATTCCTTATTCTGACATTCAAGGCCCTCACACATCTCCTGCCACTTCCCTACCGTAAACCTCTTTCACCATTTCTTTCTTGTTATCACCCAGATGTCAGATCGACACCTTTTCCTCCTTCCCCCCTTCCTTCTAGCATTTGTCTAAATTTTAGCCTTCCTTTATCCAGCCCAAATCCCATTTTCTCCAGGAAGCTTTTGACTCTTTCAGTCCTAGACAATGTCTTTCTTCTTAGACCTATACTATTTACTGTTATACAACTTACTGTTGTAGCATACTTGGGCGTTTAATCATCTACGACAGGGATTGGCAGTTTATGGCCTGTAAGCCAAATCTGGCCTGCTGCCTGTTTTTGCACAGTCTGTGAACTAAGAATGGTTTTTACATTAAAAATGTAAAAGAAGAAAAAGAATATTTCACAGCACATGAAAATGATATGAAATGCACATGTTAGTGTCCACAATAAAGTTTTATTAGAATATAGCCACACCTATTTTGTTTAGATATCGTCTATGACTGCTTTCAAGCTATAATGGGAGGCCAAGTAGTTTAACTATAGGGCCTACAAAGCCTAAAATATTTACTCTCTGGCTGTTACAGAAAAAGCTTGCTAACCTCTGATCTAGGATCTTGGATTCTCTGTATAATCTTTGCATCACTGTTCAAGAACTTTGGAGAGGTCTGCTTCACTAAAGACAATCATTTCAAGGCTAATTAGCTGTTCCTTAGACAGGTGGGGGAAGCCAGAGGGTAGGCTGCATAGAGTAAGTAGGTGCGAGCCTACTTAGAATTTAGTAACTTAGGCAACCAGATTCCCATTGGAAAGTGAGAGTCAGAAGATCCCAGGTAGATGGGGGAAAAGATGTGATCTTCTTTTCCATCTTCTCTGTTTCCGAAGTGGCAGAGAAAATGTAAACACACAGAGGGTCTCGCTAGAGAAAGGGTATTTGAGGTCTTATCTGAATCTGGTTGTTGAGAAGGGATCAGTGGTTGCTGGCTGAGAGAACCTCAGCTATTAATGACTCAGTTATTACAGGCCATGATAGAAACTATCAAAAGGGTGTAATGGCTAACGCTGAAAGTGTTTGGCTTTGGCTGACTGAAGCTTTAAGTAGGCTAAAAGGTTTTACAATGCCTAGAAGTATCACAGGCAAGAGCATTTAAAGGATTTCTTTAAAGTAGAAATGAAAGCTAGATATTTAGGAATAGCAGATGAAGTTATCAGAAAGTTCCTGACTTTTACCTAGGTGTTCTATTTCTTTTCATCTTGCTCTAATCATATTTTTTTCTTAAAACTTATACATCATAGTGATTATTTAGTAAAGTTCCATCTTATTGAAAAATAATCTATATAGATTGGACTGTGGGCTTCATCTTTCACATCTGCTCCCTACATCTGGGCAGAATCCACTTGCTAGTTTTGGTACTCAAACATATACCACCAAATGGGTTCCTACCTGAATTGCAGGAAGAAAAAACCTAGACTCTAAGAGATAGGACTTGCATATTGAAATCTATTTTAATGGCAACAATAGGTGCAAGGTCATAATGTGTGTGTGTGTGTGTGTGTGTGTGTGTGTCTCTCTCTCTCATTTTTTAAATAGCTTCACCACCACAGTGGAGCATAGTGGAGGGCACATTGTCAGACTGAGATTGAATGAGTAAACAGTCGTAAATTAACTTTTGGGGGGAGCTCATTACCTATTCAAGTAGACGCTAGGGGACCATCATTTTGTTGGAGAAGGGTTTTTCGCATTATGTGGGAGGTAGAATTGATGAATCCTAAAATGTCTTTCAACTCCTTAGATCTATGATCTTCCAAATCAAACAGGCACTTCAAAATTCCCCTGTTCTTTGCCACAGAATACCGTCCCCTTGCATCTCTCTGTCTCTCTTTTGCTCTCTCTGTCCCTCTCTGTCTCTATCTCTCCCTCTCCTTCCCTTCCTCCTTTCTGCCCTTCTCTTATTCAGACTGCCATCCTATTACTAAATCTTAATCTGTAAAATCTCTTGGCTTTTACCCTTTCATTCAGTTTCCTGCTTCACATGTACCCTCTTGATATCCTTCCAGCTCTTCTTTCTTCACTTTCTTAAACTCACACACTCCTTCCCTGCCTCTCTCTCTCTTTCCTTCGTGTACTACTCCTTCCTCTCCTTCCTCCTTTGCTCCCCCTGCTTCATTTTCCATCTTCTCATCCCCCGACGGTCTCCCCCTCCTTCCCGCTCTCTGTCTTACCCTAGTTTGGAAATGCAGCAGACCTCTGAGCCTGCCACCATTGGGTGCCAGGGGCTGTCACTCTGCGGCAGGAAGAGCTCCTATTGGTCGGGCTGGAGGCTGGTAGGGAGCTGACTATAAAAGGTGGGGCCGGCGGAGGCTCGCGGAGCGGCTCTGACAGGACGGGGTCGGAAGGGGACTCCTGGCGGGGAGCTGAGCGCCTGGAGCTGGGGTGCGGGCACTGGAGCAGCGGCTCTCCGCACTAACTCTCCTCGCCTCATCAGCGGGGCCCCTGCCTCAGAGCCCGGCAACTTGCGGCCGTCGCCCGTGCAGCCTGAGTGCCCCTTGTCTCCCCTGCACGTTTCGCGCCCCGCGCGCCCCGTCTGGCCGCCGCGATGAGCGAGGTGAGAGGCGCTGCCCGGCCCCGCCGCTGCGGACTAGGGCTGCGGCGCGGGGAGGCCGCGGCTCGGGGTCCCAGGGCTGCGAGGGAGGGTGCTGCAGCCCAGAGCCGCTGAGAATCCTCCCGGGACGGCCCCTGCCTCTCTGGGAAAGCTCCCACCTTGGAGTGCTGGGGAGCGATTGGAAGAGGGAGGCTTTAAGTTCCCTGACTGTCGGTGGAGATTTGGGGGGACTGGAATCGATTGTAGAATGGGAGGGCTGAGGTCTCAGATCGTAAGTTTTATCCTCAGGATACTGCCCTCTGCATAGGTCTTACTGCTCCAAGGTTACTCGGGCTTCCCTTCACTCCCCAGACTTCTGAGAAAAACATTAGCTTCTGTCTTCCCTCTCCTAGGGCTGTATTGCTTTTACACTCCTTATGTAGCATTCAACGGAGAACTCCAGCCCTCGCCCCCTGGGGTGGCTCTTCGCCCCTATTAGGAAGGTGGCATCCTACCCTCCACTCATTCAATCAAGAACCAACCGTTGGAGGGACCATTCTGATATTCAGAAGACTTGTAGTGGGGGCCTGTCTGGCTGCTGGGGAGATGTCCCCTTCAAGAGTAGACCTCCTTCTGCAGTGCTTGTTACACCCTGAGTCTCCACAGGGTCCGTGGTCATCCGAACCAGACCCAGTCCATTAACTGTGATTTCCTCTATTCAAAGAACACTGTCCATCCGTGGGGGTCAAAGCAGAGACTGGGAAAGACCTCTTCCATTGTTTGACTGCATTTTTAGGCATCCAGAGACAAGGATCTTCCTTTCTAAGTGAAGTCAGTATGGGCAGTGACATCACAAGCTTGCTCTCTGCACCCCCTTTCCTAGTACCCAGGATCTTGTATTAAATCCAACATCTCAGCTATATGCCAGATCCCAGCTCTACTGCTTACTAGCTATGTGGCCTTAGGCAAGTTTACTAAGCCTTTCTCTGCTTCAGTGTTTTATCAGCAAAATGGGGGTAATACTGGTCGTTCTAACGATTAAATGAGATAATATATGCCAAGTACTGAGAACAGTACCTGGCAGAGAGTAGGCACTCATTGTATGTTAGATATTGTTATTATCTCCATCTCACTTCTAAAATTAAAAAAAAATTATTTTAGAGTATTTCAGAAAACTAGCATGAGACGTGTCAAGGATACAAGGTTAGTGAAGGGGTAGGACCCTGTAGGTCTCAGTTTAGAGCTTCATCTTTAGTAGGAGCTCTGCTGGCTCCTACCAAAAGCTCTCACCCAGGGAGCCAATTAGTGCCAACTACTATGTTTTGGTTGCCATGTCCACTAAGTTTATCCTGGAAAATTCAGCTACTCTGGGGGCTGCAGATGAACTAAAGTGGTTTCCTGTCCCTCAGATAGTTGTGACTGTGACCACAGCAGCCTTTCAGAAAGAAAGAAAAGGAAAAAAAGATTCAATCTTCTTTCCTTTTGCTTCTTCCAGCCCTAATGTGAGAAGAGAGGTTTTCTTTGCCCTCTCCCGTTGCAGAGCACAGGCTCCGGACGCGCAGGCTCAGCGGCCATGGCTCATGGGCCCAGCCGCTCTGCAGCATGTGAGATCTTCCCGGACGGGGGCACAAACCCGTGTCCCCTGTCCGGGACACAAACCCGTGTCCCCTGCATCGGCAGGCGGACTCTCAACCACTGCGCCACCAGGGAGGCCCTCTTTGCCCTCTTTTCACTGAGGTCTAGAGTTCAACGCCCCCCTAGTGTTTCTAAATCTGAAAGTTGCAATTCAAGCCATCCCCTGGAGGTCTGTGATCTGAAGTCTATGCCAACATGAAGATGTGTGGTTAGCCTGTGCTTTTTAGGGGAAGTGCACAGCCTCTCTGTAGGATACACTACAGGGGCTGGGATCTAGGGTGATATTTGGTAGAGTGACAAAGCTGTCACAAAGCAGTGTCAAGAAAAATAATTTGGTGTTTGAGGGGAAAGTCAAGTCTTGACTTAGCAGCTGTACTTGACTAGCCTCGATCAGGAACTCAGTAGAATGAAGAGAGTGGAATCCTTGGATGGGAAGTAACTGACAGTGTCTGCAGGGCTGCCTGACCTCCCAGGCTGTCAGAGTGAACTGGTCCTAACTAGCAGTTTAGTCATCGAAGCTGCCTCCTGATACAAAGCTGAGCCTGGCTTCAGGGATGAGTATTTATAAAATCCAGAAGCAGCCACCTGGGCTTACACAGAGATCAGCTGTCCCTGAACCAGATACCCAAAGGGCCTCTGCTTCCCTAGAGGCCAAGACCCAGCCTGTTTTCTTCCTCTTGTAAAAGCTATGAAGAAAAGTGGAAGTGTTGCCCAGAGCTCTGAAGCTCTAGGGAGACTCCAAACTTCTTTCTCTCAGCCCAGCCCCAGGGGTCTCCTCTTTCAGGCTGGAGCCCTAGCCCAGGAAAGCCCTGTGCACTCTGAATCTTATGTAAGCTTCACCTCCCCCACCTGCTTATTGTCTTGCTTCAGTGAAACTGCATGAAATGAGAGAATTTGGGATCTCTTTAAGAGATTTCCATTTCAAATGAAGAACAAAAATTGGGGAGGGGGTCTCCAGACCTAGAGGAAAAGTGTAGGATCCTGGTGACGCTGCTGGGGAGGGTCTCTGGTTATACTTTCCCTTCCTGGCTCTGCTGTCACTCAGTACTGCAGCAGAGCATTCCCCTGTGAGTGTGTGTGTTCGTGTGCAGAGGAGCTGCAGGGGCTCGTCTCCAGCTTGTCTGCATTCACAGCTGCAGGCAGGACTTGATTGCTGTGAATCACAGTCTATCTCTTATAGTTTAATAACTTTTTGCTAGTTTCGGTGAAGAATGGGGATGGGAGATGCATTCAGTCCATGAGGGCTCTTTCCTATAATCCCTTGTCATATGGTGTAGCTGGCGGCTTAAAGCACACTTGCAAGTTCTTCTGTGATCCTGTTGCCCTTCTCAACTGTAAAAAGTCCAGCTGGAGGAATCCCTTGGTCCAGCCGTCATTCTGCTGAAATGGGGCTTATGTATGACTGGTAACTAGTTCCATGGTGTCTGCCCCATAGTGTCTGTCCTCAAGCTGGCAGGGGATGGAGCAAGGGACAGATCAACTAGAAACCTCACTAGACCCAGTACTCCCTCCTTTATTATTCTGCTTGCTGTCCTCCTAGGTAATAGGAATGGGATATCACACTTTGGGGATCACATTCTCCTTCCTGTGCATATCTGCCTGAATCTACAACCTCCTCCACAATGGAAGTTTGGTCAGGGTGACATCATTCTGTTATGTCTTCTGCGAACCATTTGTTAGGGAACCTGGTAGGGACTTGGAGGAAATCCAAGTTTCTCTCTTTCTCTCTCATTGGTATTTTATTATGATGATGATTATGTGGGACGTATAAAACAGAAGAGCTGGATACTGGAGAGCCTTCCACCTCTAGAAATATCTGGCTTCTGAAGTAAGAGAAACCAGAATTTGGTTCCAGAGCTTGCTCATCCCTTTCTCAGTCACCAATCCAGGTTGTTGGCTTTAGCTGCTTGAGCAGGAGACTGGCTGATAAAAGTGGATGACTTTGTCATCCCGTGACCTGGGAATATAGTCTTCTCCCTCAGCTGCAGCTGTTATCAGTAACACCTTAGAATGTCAAGTCTCTATAGGGACAGGCACCGTAAGTATTGTGGCTGGAGTCCGAATATGCAAACCTCATGTGTCTTTCATGTCTGTCCATGGAGAATCTTAACTGATGACAGTGATGGAGATAGGGCTGCAAAGACAGAGGAGGAAGTAGGATCAGGTCGATCAAGACAAGTCACTAGCTTGTCTTTTCAAGGTACTGGTTCTATGAATGCTTCCCCCTGTTTTCTTTCTGTTTTTCTGTAGTTCCAAATTGTCTTTCATGAGTCTATGTTATCATGGAAAAAATAAGCTTAGTTTTGCAAAAATCCTTCTATCTAGAAGAAATACAGGTATTTTTTTTTTTACCAAAAAAATCTCAAATAATATATCAAAACATTTTAGCAATATAATTTCAGATTTGTCAAGGAACCCTAAAGATCATCTGGTCCAGGGCTTCCCTGGTGGCGCAGTGGTTGACAGTCCGCCTGCCGATGCAGGGCACACGGGTTCGTGCCCCGGTCCAGGAAGATCCCACATGCCGCAGAGCGGCTGGGCCCGTGAGCCATGGCTACTGAGCCTGTGCGTCCGGAGCCTGTGCTCTGCAATGGGAGAGGTCACAACAGTGAGAGGCCCGCGTACCGCAAAAAAAAAAAAAAAAAGATCATCTGGTCCAATCTCCTCATTTTACAGATGAGGAAACTGAGGCCCAAACCTTATCTAAGTTTACACAGTATTAGAACCAACACTGGGGCATAGAACTGCTGCCTTCTTATCCCAAAAGAACTTTCCCTAAGACTCTTTTAACATGTGACTCCAGTGATAGAATGGTTTAATTTACATGCAACTTTGAAGGAATATATTACAAATACTTTCTATAGGAGATCTAAGCAGTGTGATTTAATAAATCCTGAGCAAGAGGATAGAGAGAGAGGAGAGACCAACGTAGGATGATATGTACCAACGGGGTAAATTTTGGTAGAATACTAGACAGGGTAAGCACTATTCTTCCTTATGCAAGATGCCTAGTCACCTTAAAAGTGAGTGCAACGAATATGCTGAAGTGGAGTAGGTAAGTTAATAGGAGTGTAGGAAGGCGGAAGTCTGGAGGTCCTCTTTTCATGCATTCTTAGTTTCTGGTGTCCATCACTGATTATCATCACTGTAAAGAAACAAGGACTAGAAGGAGAGGTTTTCTTTCAGAAAAGAAAGGAATGAGCAATTCTCTTAACTCTAAAGTATTTGACTTGGAGGATCCAGTGCAGAAAACAGGTATCTAAGTAAAATTGCTGTACCTGATAATCAAACAGACGCTGAACATTTACTCCTCCTTCATTTGGCCACTTGACTTCCAAAGAGAGTACCAAGGCTTTGGGAGGAGAAATCTAGAAGAGGGAAAGAAGAAC